TGATGTTTTTGTCAGTGGTTCCTTCGCACTCACTACCGGCGAATCGGATGGCGCAGCGGATAACCAGGTGGATTGTAGAAGGGGCGACGTCACGGGACTTCGTGAATCGGATCTTCCTTGCAGCAAACTTTTGCATTTTTCAGCTTTCTATTCATTCGCGTTCCTGTGTGTCTAGCAGTGGAAATAAGCCAAGTATATGCCATTTGAAGGCATATTCTTCATTCTGATACCTTACAAACCAGCTCGGTTGTGTGGAGAAGCCTGTTTCCGGGAATGTTTCCAGCACCATATTGTTTATCTGCCATCAGATAAACTAGTTTCCAGCACCATATTGTTTATCTGCCATCAGATAAACTAAGTGTTGGCGCCTTCAAGGACGTGAAAAACTGACTTAGATAGAACTTTTTCCACGCTGGTGTTTCGACTCTCTGAACACAAATATCTTCGTCACGAACAGGTCAGACAATAAAATGCGTGTAGTGTGCACTGAGGGTATCAGCACGCCCAAGCTTCCCCCTTGCTCACAGAGCGCCCGAACTTGCCAAAAATTGCTCATAAATTCCTTTCATAGGGGAGTACGTGTGAGCGCTGATATACTGGTCATGCTTGAAGTCTTTTGAGCCGTATTTCTGCAAAACCACAGAAGCACCACCATTACGGTCTCAATTATTGCTCGCAAGGCGGACTCACTAGCAACCGTGACGACCGACGACCTGGTGGAATCGTGCTTCTTCTCTTATAACGCCTTAGCTTGTTTAGATCCAAAGGTAGAGAATGATGTCCTGAGCACCATAAATTCCCGTTTTGCAGAGTCTTTGCCAAGTGTTGACGAAGAGGTCATTTAGCGTTAAAATTTGGGCAATTTGACAATGTGACTATCTTTACTTCTTTTTCGGCTGTTTTCAAAGTCTTGTTGGAACACGCAAGTTTTTTTTGTTCTTAACACATTTTAGAAACATCTTGTGACCGGATTTCGTAAGATTTATGGGTTAGATAGCTATTATGCGACGCAGTATACATACGCCACTCTTCTGACAATCATCTTTCCGAAGCTGCGCTCGACGTGTGCACAAGAAGCGAGAGCTGTGCTTTTGGAACGCCTACAGAGAGAACATTGCCTCTCGTCTAAACAAAGAAACATTTACCACTGCTCTGTTCTGTACTGCGCCAAAGACAACTTTATTCGATGGTGAACTTTTTTTTGATAAAGAATAGTTAATTACCGAGCTTAAACAAGGACCGCCATCGTGAAACGTGACAAAGGATTACAGCATGAAGAAATTACTTTGTCAAGTATAACTGATCACAGCACATATCCATATAATCACTGCTGACGATTATGAAACAAGGATGAAGAAAGCGAAAAAGAAACAGCAGAAAGTACTCTTCCTAAAATGGAGTAGCAAAGGGATTGGGGGCTTGCGATGGTTCGACTGAGTGAGAGAGTGCTTCGACACGAGGGCCAGTTGGTGGGATAGGAGGAGCCACAGAAGCTTGAGCTGCTCGCATCTCATTCAGTGTCGGAGATTTTCGCTGCTGCAAGGCAAAAGGTTTTGCCGTCGATGTAGCAGAACTAAGAAGAAATGGATTCACACCTAAACAGCGCATCCTGTTGTATACTGAACGTACAAAAATTCTAAACTATATTTAGACCATAAGTCACGTCGACATCTCAGAACTTGCGCGACATTAGCATGTCCAGCAAAACAATGGTCTCTATAGCACCTCACTGATTTTGTGTATTGAACATGCTACTACAGCGCAGCAATGAAAATGTGAACAACGACGCGGCATTAAGGGTTCATTCGCATGGCAATCTCGTTCGTAATTGGCATATCGTGCTGTAGTAAACATAAAGATGACAAGACCCAAAAGCACTCTACTTTCAGGTAGGAGAAACAACATGTTAATTAGGAAGAACCCTGCGACCAGCCCTGAGAATGTTCGCTGCAAATAGCGACCTCATCAAAATATGGCCTTGCTCAGAAGAAAAATAAGACGAATACTAACATGCAGAATCAGTCGAAGATAAACCAAGGAGGTTATCCAAATTCACCAGATTCCTATTTTCTCCAAGAAAAGTCTCTGGTGCTCCACGAGTAGTAGAAACTGCTAATGAACCCACACCATTAGATGATTTCGTTGACATTGCCTAGAGTAACAACATTAGTACGACAATATTTCAAGACAAGTCCTGTGATCAAGTGAAATGTGAAAGGACTCCGCGCACCTGGTAGCCGGACCTTTTGCATCACCCAAAAGTGGGAGATAAAGGCGCCAGAAACGGGTAACTCGCAACCAGTAGGCCGTCATGGCATACACGACAACGACTGACATTGAGTTACAGCGCCTTTGTTGCCTGCAGCTTCATTACGGTAGGCAGTCCCATTAATTCTTTGTATACAACCCTCATGTGTGAGAATGTTTTGCTGTGGTGGGAGCAGAGAATTCGCAAATGCGAGTTGTTCTTGCAGCAAGCATTACCCGTTGGGTGCAGTACTCGCCCATGGCGAATGTGTCTCCTTTATTTCGACTATGAAATCGCTGCTGACCTTCACAGATTCTTACCCAGTGTCCGGACTTCCTGGAATCGTTTACTAATTCTCCTCATCGCCCACTCCGATGCATGCTCCAGTCACTGTTAGCGGAGCCTACAGTGTCTGCATGTGTTCTCCACATTGGATGAGACCTCACCCATCCCAAAGTTGGTCTGGTACCTTAATGTGATTTTCCAGGAGATTCTCATTTTCCAGGCAGACACACAGGCTAACAACCATACTTACATGCAAATAGACAGACAGAACTCCTGGCTTACATGCCATTTTCAGTTTAGATTCACCACTTTTCACACCACAATCACACCCTTTTCAAATCATTTCACCACAATTTTCAAACCTGGCATCCAATCAACGAGATCGCGCTAAACATCACCACAAGCCCCGCCCCGACGGCCACGCCTACCCTTCGGTGCGGTCATCAATTTCCTAAATTTTGTTTCATTATTTCTGTTTCTCTGACTTTCTCGACTTTTGCTGTTTCGCACATACCACTGACGTACTCACACAGTGGCGCATGCGGCGGTTCCTCCGGTTTCATGAGGAAGATATGCACACTATGCTCCGCCCCCTGAAACACACCCACTACTACGTCTTTCTACAAAACTGGATCTATATCCATGCCAAATAATTTCACACTCGTAGACTGCCACAGGTAGTCGCGCCAACCCTGAAAAGCTCCGCCGACTCCGTGGGAGCTCCGTCCACTTTTGAAAAACGATGCAAGTCGATAGCTATAGTCTTAGTTGGCACGTCACGGTCTCGCGCCTCACTCGAAAAAAAAATTTGTATAGTTTTTGTTTGTTTGGAACTAGAGACTTTCACGCCCAGAGGTCTCGCGCGTCATTCGGAAAAAAAACTTTGTATAGTTTTTTGTTTGTTTGGAACTAGAGACTTTCACGCCCAGAGGTCTCGCGCGTCATTCGGAAAAAAAATTTGTATAGTTTTTTGCTTGTTTACTTGAGACTTCACGTCCAAAAGCACACCTTCCTACTAGAGACCGATAATGAGATCCCAAGAAACATGTAGGCTTACAACAGTGTTGAGGGGTTGTTCAGGCTGCTTGCCCCATGCCGAAAATTGGTCTGAAGCAACATCAATCCTTGTCGATCCAGGCAGGCTTGAATCCCCTGTTAGCACTTCCGTTCTTGTACATGGCATCCAAGGATCATTGTCCAGTTGACCTTAACACCGTTTATCATCTAAAAGCAAGTAAAGCAATTATAAACAAAACGTCCACAGAAACTTATCAAGTGTTACCGCTCGGGTAGAGCGTAGCTGAGGTGGTCTGCTGCTCCGTTGAAGTTGGTGACGCCCAAGGATCCACCAGACCTGTATTTGCCCACGAAGTAGAGGACGACGATGGCTGGTCATTCATAACGAGCTGAGAAAGTATTAAAATCAAGAAAGTGGAAAGAGTTTGCAACATTTCTGGCAATGAGAAGTAGCTGATCCATACTTAAATTCAGAACGCCTAAGGTCTAGCTCTAGTAACAATAATGAAACCTGAGACTCGACCCTTTGCTGCTGCTCTACATTATCCTTAGGGGCGTCTCCCACCCATACCATATTGCGTAATACTGCATGGTACCAAAACTACTACTGCTTACTAGCTGTACTTTACCAACGAAATGCCATTGCATGCCCACTCCGCCAGGCTTTCTTCTTGAACGCGAGAAGAAGATTACAAACGAGAAGGGAGGTGGTCTACCATGGCACGAAGACCTCTGGCAGCGATTTTGTCATAAGGTTCTCTCACGTTCTTTTAAAGCGCTTTTGCCTGAGAATTATTGGGTAGAGTAAGCCTAGCTCTTCATATAAGACAATAATGAACCATCCACAGAACAAGAATGGAGTATCCACTGTTTTTAGGTAGGTGGTGCTGAATGGCCAGCCCTGAGCACTGATGTAGCTCGGTAGAACGTGTCAACGCTGTACTGTATTACCGTCGATTTTCGAGGTAAGTGCTGAAACCTGCTGAAACACAAGCGCTCACGAACGGAAGTGAGACTCTGTCATAAAAAGCTGCTCAAAAGCACTAATGTGCTGGTATCAGTATTCTCCTCGGATAAGAACCACTAGAATTCGCACCGCAGGTGACTGGCTGCACAAATCACGGTTCCCCGGCATATCCTGGACGCTCATGAATTCTACTAGTATCTTTGTTGATGCACAGCGGAGAAGACTTTTGACAACTGAGAACTGACACCACTTCGAAGGAAAAGGCTATGTTTTGGTAGCGTGCAGTACAGGGACGATCTTGCAAATTTTGGTAGCGTGCAGTACAGGGACGATCTTGCACATCGTGGCCCCGTCTTCCTTCATGGAGTAAAGAGATGTGCGCTTGGCAGTGATTAGGCCTGAGCCCCCCAATTTTTTTCTGGTCACTACGACGTGCTATGGCACAGCTTAACTCTGGTTTTCGGCGACTTTCCTGGGCGACCTTTGGATCTGCACCGCATATGACTTGAGCCATCCTATTTTTTTTGCTGGAATTGAACCACCAGCCCTCAAATGATAATCTCATATGGTGGCCCTCTCATAGTTTCTGCTTTTTGCGAGTGTATTAATTATTGTTTTTGCGCGACGTTCGACCTCTGGCAATTGAAGGACCACGAATGAGGATAAGAGGTGATTACTTCGAAAGCAGTAGACACTGAGAAGTTACAGTCCAACTTGGACTAGTGATAGTAGAAGATTTATTTGGTCCGAAAAACCAAGAAACGAAGAGTGAAAATAGATCACATATGTTGAGGCCAGGGCACAGCATTCGATGGGGATTTCGGTCGAGCTTTTACGACCCCCCCCTTTTTTCAGGGGCTGGTACGACCCCCCCCCATGCTCGTACGATGTACGTCGCATGCTTACTACATACCCCCCGCCCGACGACTTTTTCATGAATGTCAACTATAAAAATAAATTTTTCCCAGCACAAATACGACCCCCCTTTTGGCGGCCTCGTACGACCCCCCCCCATAAGGAATCCCCATCGAACGCTGTGCCCTGGTGAGGCCATAGCTGCCACTAAACGCGGAAGCTGCGCAGAAGCTGTTTCGTCAGGCAATCGGGGTGATTTCGTCTCCGAAGTACAAGCATGAACTCAAATCTAGAACCCTCCATATGGCCATCACCTTACAAGGGTAGGCTAACAGGTCGTCTCGGCCATCTGCGAGGAGAGGACTGGCGGGAGGGTCGGGGAGGGGAGCGGGGGGGAGATGAGGAGTGGAAAGCGGAGTTACCATTGAGAATTGAAGACTTTTTTACGTGTGACAGCTTATTTTTCCACCGCGCGCCCTCAAGAGCTACGCGCAGAGCGCTCCCGATGACAGCGGACACATAGTATTGTAGCGCAGTGCCTATGGCAAACGACGATCTGAAGCGCCCACTCACAGACATGAAGGGACTTTGCTGACTGACGTTTTTTTTCAGCATGTTTCAGAAAACAGATCGCTAAGAAAATTCTCAATGCAGAATAAAAGCTCGCCAGCCGATATACATTACACCAGCAGAAGATGCGAGCAGCGGAAACTTGATTTGTTTATTTTGGTTTATTTAAGTAATGCTACATACAGCGGGGGCCAAAAAAAGTCAACTTACGACCTAAAAGTCACTATCAGCCAAGATTTTCGCAAGCTCCCAGACAGAAGGACGGGATAACGTTGTACCAGGAGCGGAAGATACGCCAAGAATATCCTCAGATAAGCAAGGAGGAGCTGCTCTCGGCCTACTTCAATGTACCGGAAAATAATGAAGTCTCTCCAAATCGTAAACACTGAAACTGTCAGAGAAAGAACCTTCGGGAATTATGTCACCCTTGCACGAACAGCTCGAAGACTTACTAAGTGTGGAGTCACCCAAAAAAATGGTGTTAGCTACGGGAGACCATTACTGCTACGACTGTGGAATAATTGCAACATCGAGCAGCTCCTACAACGTCGCTACAGTCTAGGACATCATCTTCACCGTAGTCGGCGAGGCGCGAGTTGATGGTATGGAGTACCTAGAATGGGAAGACCGATATTTTCTTTGTAGACCCGGACTGAGGTTGAGCGCTTGGCCAGGTAACGAGCGTACTCGAGAAGAAATACTTCCCTACAGTCGGTTGCGTACCTTCTTGGAACACTTTATGTACTGATACAGGTTTTGGTGCCGGATAGCCCCACATTGGAATCAAAGCGCGGGTTGATACACTCATTCGGCTAATTAGACAGGAAGGAGGGTTATCTCTTGTTCTAAAGAAGATAAAATATTCAAGATGTCCCCTGACCTAAACCCTCTCAATTACCGGGTTCGGGAGGCAGGGTACAGCAGGGGATGTGCGTGGCGGTGTGAGTACGACCCCCCTCGAAGAGGGTCCAGATACGACCCCCCCCCCTCTGCTCTAACTGACAACCAGATGCATGTTCACCACAAATGGCTTCCTGAAATGGAATCTGGATTCTCCAAAGGCGCTTTCTGCCCTAGAATTCTCGAAAGGCGCTTTCTGCTCTAAAATACAGGCAATAAAAGGCTGTTTTCAGCCTCATGCAATATGAGGCTGAACAACAGCCTCGCATTACCTACAATTTAGGATTCAAAATAAAACTCCTCGTTCGATAACTATGTATGACATGCAACTTGTAACAAGAAACACAATTGAAATAGCGGCTAATGGTGATCATTGATAGGCTGAAAAAATAGCCCCAAGGTGAGCGTGTCAGGGCCCAGATGTGCATTCAATGAATGGTGACGGGGAAATAATGAAAACATGCGACACAACAAAGCGAAACATGGAAAATACAAAAAATGCAGAGCTAAATGAAAAAAGGATAACCAGGCCGGCAGTAAATCGTTCCATACTTGGCTATTATCGATCAGCTGCAGGGCGCAAGGCTGCGACCGCTTTCTTTGGAAAAACGTCATTGGAGCGCGGTTGTTGGACTTGCCAACGTCCTGGGGTCTGTTCGGGGGGTTATATCTTTTTTAGGTGCGGAGCTTTTGAGGAATGGTGAGCAGCATGCAACGGCAAAGTTTCTACTATTGTGTATTCTACCTAGCTGCAAACTGAACAATCCCCCGTTGGTGAAATATTCCGGATGGGTCACGGTTCGGCCAGGGGTAAATCGCGAGCTGGTTTCCATGATTCACACAAGGACTGCTTCGTTCAAACGCAATTTCATCAGGACTGAAGTCGTCTTGAAACCCCTCCATCTTTTCTCTTTCCAATAAGCTTTACAGTTTTTCTGAAGACCCACTAGTTCAGGAGATATTTTAGATGGGTCACAGATGCGCCCTCTGACCCACCCGAAAAATTGACTCCTTATGTGCCATTGTGAGGATACACCTTCGGAAACTTCAGTGTGCCTCCAAATATTTCCCTTCAAATGAGTGAAGAGAAGCTCGGCTATCTCTGATCGATTTGGTCCGTGCGCCGTGCATTAGGCTCCTACGCAGAGGTGGTGGAAAGGTGTAAATTCTGATTTCAGGTGCTTTTATCCATGCAAGCAGATGTTTGTTTAGGGTTTGTAAAGGACAACACGCACGAATCTGTTTGAGACGTATTATTTAGTCATCTACGTACTTACGAGTTCATGCTATAAACTGACACTTATTTATTTATTTATTCTTGCTATATTGCTAATAAATCTTTTATTATTTTGTATTCCTATTTACATCCGGGTCTTCTGAAGCTTTCCGTCCGTTCCATTACCTTAGCAATGACACCTTTGTACTGTTTGATGCCTAGCGAGCCTACTTTTGCGATACTCCCCACGTCCCCCGCGGCCAAGTACGAACCCATTCTTGGGGATTTCCCATGAAAAGAGGGCTGTTAAACGTAGCATTTAAAGCTGTAAAGAATACACTCATAATAAACTTCATTTTTTTAAACATCTTGACTTCCATAGCTCCACTCCCACTATCAACTGAAATGTCGAACCATTGCTCGGCTCTGAGTGACCCTTGAGATTACGACCCCCCCTCTCCATCGGCCAGGTACGACCCCCCTATGGGTTTGGCACAACGATGCTGTACCCTGTCGGGAGGAGCTCAACAAGGGGGTCTAGAGTGGCCGAGTAATCAACTATCTCGCTGAAGCCACGTACCGAACCACGGATGCGTGGCAGAATCTCGACGGCGCTCCTCCAGAAGGCTGTGGCGGAGTATCATGATAGTATTTAATATGCTCTTTGATATGGTGGTAGAATTGTCCGACTAGGATTTGATAAAGTGTAACTTATAACGCCTCGAATCAAGCAAGAAAAGTGACTTTTATTGGATCCCCCCCTGTAGTTCTGGTGAGAAAAAAAGCAACAACCGAAAGGCGTAGTCACAACCACGAATCCGAAAAATCCAAAAGAACAGTGAAACAGAGCTTAAAAAAACTAATAATTGTTGCGGCGTATGAGAAGGGAAAGAAAGCACCAGTTGATGAGTGACGAACACAAACAC